TGACCATATAGTGTATGTGTTCTAAAAAAATGTATAAAAGCTATAAAAAAAAAAAATTGCTGGTACTTTAAAGTCAAAATGTAAAAGTAAAATAGTCACATTGAAATCAGACACACTCACATGATTCAGTGTAAGCAAAAGCAGATGTGAGTATAACATAAGTGGAAAAAATAAATGAAGGAAAACCTGTACATGCTAAGGAGATCAAACATTTTGCAAGAAAGGTTAAACAGTGTTTGTATGTAATACATTATAAATAAATAAAGAAATACCTATATATGCTAAGTAAGTCAGACATTTTGCAAGAAAGGTTGAACAGTGTACGTAATAAATCATAACTTTCAAAAAGTTATATAGAAATGAATAACTCATTATTTTTCTCTCAAGGGAAGTTTTTTTGGATCATTTGATCATTTCATGAATGGTTGAATATAGTGGTAAAAGTGAGTTAAAGTAAATTATACAGCCAGCTTTATTGGTAAGAAAAACAAAAAATTGTTGTAATGTATAGCAAAACTATGTTGAGGTTAGGGGAAACTACATAGGTAATAGACAAAGAAGGGAAAAACACAGGCGGTGACAAAAATAACACTGCTTTGGAAACCACAGCAATTTTAGGAACAAAATGCCCATGGGACTGACTTCACAAGACACTATGTTTTTCCAACTGCTGACTGCTGGTTTTCTCATTGCTTTTATTGGCATGAGGTATTTTACAAAGACCCTGATCTTGACCAGCTTCAGAGAGGCCTGTATCTAGACATGCTATGCTATGCCACTGTTAACAGGGAAAACCTGGATGTAGCTGGTATTGACAAACATATCTGTATGTGATCCAAGGCCACTTCTATGTCTGTACTCACTTGCATTTGCCACAAATATAATTAAAAAAAACATAAAAAATATAAAGGAAGAATAAATTCAAATGATTAATAGAATAAAAAGAATTGAATAATTTCAACAATGTTATCTTAAAGCTTAATTTGCTATAGCATTGTCAACCAATATTCATTTTTGATTGCTATTTTTTTTTCATCTTTTCATTGCAATGACTGACTTTCCATGGCTAGGAGTAAACAGCTTCTTTTTTTTTTTTTTCATAGCCCACCACATCTTCTATTTCTTGTAAAGTTTTGTCTTTGTTATTTTTCCAAAACCTTGTTCTACCATCAATTTACTCAAGTTCACTAAGTATGTTACATGCTGCTTTTTTCTGTCCTTCAATCTATCCTGTGAGTATCATATTTTCCTCATTACATGCCCCAGAAATTTCCACTGCCTCTTCCTAATGTTAAGTATGTTTCCTTTTTGTTTCCATTTTCTCCAAAACCTCATTGTTACTTACATGTTTCGGTCCATGGTATCTTCAGCATTTTTCTGTAGAACCACATTTCTGTTGCTTCAAGTCTCTTCTTCATCTTTGAGGAGATTTTCCAGCATTCGCTGCCATACAGGAGGACAGATATCATGTAAGTTCAATTCTCTTTTCTTTGATTCTAATGAAATTTTTCTGTCTCTTAATATGCTTAGTTTTTGGAATGCATCTTTGGCCATTTCAATACATCTTCAGATCTCAATGTCATACTTTCTGTCCTCTGCTAGAACACTTCCCAGATATTTAACTTGTTTGATTTTAGTATCCCTGATTTGTAATTTGCATTTGAGGCTCATCCTTTTGCTGACAAGCATGCATTTTGTCTTTGTCAGCACAGATTGGAAATAAACAATAAGTGAGATATGAGCCTCTATCTCTTTCAATTAATAAAGTTAGAAAAGTTAAAATGTTGAGAAATTAAGTCTTTTCTTTATATAAATGCTTCTCCTTTTCACTCTTACTCTTTGTATATATTTTCTCTCTTTTGAAATCTCTCCGCTTCCCTTTTCCTTTTTCCTTTTCCTTATTTATCTACTTTTCTTTCTTTCTCTGTCAATTTGTTCTGATCATTTTTCTATTTTTTCAATCTGATTTTTTATTTCTCCAATCAAATTATTATATTTCTATCTTTTCTCTGAATGTTTTCTTTCAACTTTATTTCTTCCTTTTAACTCTTTATATTTTAATTCTACTGTTTTCTTTTTCTTTTATTTTCTTGTTTTTTCCTTTTTCCTCTCTATTTTCACTTCCTTTTCTCTTCTATTTTCCTTCCTCTTTTTCTCTTTGTTTCTTTTTCTTTTCTTTTTCCTCCTTTTTTCTCTTCTACAATACATTTCATCCTTATTTTTGTCTCTTCCTTTCATGATTTCTCCTTCCTGGAATCATTTGCACTAATGTTTTTATTATTATCACATTACAGCTGATCAATTCTACAGCCTTCTTCAAGTGTACATTCTATAAAGAAGTTAACCCAGAAAATTGTAGCAAATAAAAAAAAATAGCGATTACACAGAGTTCATCTAAAAAGTTGTACTAACAAAAACAGCAACACAAAGAATGTGTTCAAAAGTCCAGACAATTCTTGGGAAGATAATGACTCATCTCAATATTACAAAACGTATATCCCCACCCACAAACACACATTTTTAAATCCTGTTCTTTAACTATTCTACCTTTTCTTCCTTTTTTCTTTCTTGAAATAAATTAAAAATTTCTTTTTATTGTTCAACCATAAATCTTTTAGTAATGTTACAATAACTTCTACATATTCATCAAGAAAGCAAAACACTCACAAAATGTCTACATGTTACTGCACAAAATAAATATATAAATCATGTTGGTCAATGTTTTCACAATAAAACTAGTATTAGTCAACCGATGTTGGAAAATTTTCAAGATATATTTACATTAAGTTTCTACTGGACATAAAGTGAAGGATAGGTTTCCTGTTGTTATCAAGTAATAAACTAATCCCTCTAGAATTAATACATTGTCAGATTTTATTATACAAGTCAATGTTTTTACAATGAAATTGTTATAAATCAAATATTCCAGATATAAATATATCATATGGATTTCGTTTTATTTGTTTTTATTAGAAATATTTGAAATAAAAAATTTTGTGGCATGAGTTTTTATTATGCAATTTGAAGGTTGATCATAAAGTTGTAAATAAATATATGTAATTGTATAGATATTGATATTTATTTCATAATTTCAGATATTTAAAGATTTTCATGGATTCTAAGAATGATATAACCTCAAAGGAAAGACAAAATCCTGGTACAATCAAATAAAAAGTTGAAAACATTGATGAGATAAGAACTAGAAAAAAAAACTGAAATTAAGAATGTTACAAAAACAGATTTGTGAAAATTTTAAAAAACAATAAAAGCTATGAAAGGGGATTAACTAAAAATTTGTGTTGTGAATTTTAAAAGAAAGAAAAAATACAGAATCTTAAGAACATTGGCTAATGATATGAAAGTATAAATTACTACCTTTAAGCTAGCATTAAAAAGAGAAACATGAAAGTCATTCAATAAAGCTTAAAGAAAACTAACTTCTTAACAGTAATTTTTAGTAATGAATGTAGCTTTATACCAGATATGATTAATAGCTCAGCTAGAGGTTTGTTCCTTCATGGAAATAGTCAACCAACATGATTTACAAGTCAACAGTCGAAAGGTGGAAAAATATTTTGATATAGTATTGTAGGCAGCAAAATTATAGCTCTCTTTAAATTTACTGATATTTCAAGATAAATGCAGAGAATTATAGCCAGCCCTGGGATATTTTTTTTGTTTGGAATGGTACTGGTCACATCTACATTTAAGGTAAAGAGTAACTACTTATAAGACAATGTTCTTTCACATTTTACAAGACTGACTATTGCCAACCTTCTCAAAAAAAAGGGGGTTTCAGAAATTTTCCCATATTAATGGTATGGCTCATAGCTTCTACAGATATTAATGCAATAGAAAATTTGAGATCCATCATTAAAAGAAATATATATGAGTAAGAATAGAAAACATTATTTAAACAAGATCTCTGGGAAGCAAAAATACTGTTGCAAGTATTATTAAACCTAAAACAAGAGAAAAACTTAAAACCAACAAATTAAATATTGATGTCAAAGAGCCAATATTAACATTTAAAGTAATAATTTATTCAGGTATATGGATGTATTATTTTAATCAGATATATCTTTCTATAACCTATTTCTTTTGGATTTATTTATAAATAAAGAAATAATGATGAAATTTGTTTGCATGTAATAAAACTTGATATCTTCAAAACAAGTTATTATCAATATTTTGAATAAGGATAAAGAAAATGAAACACAAATGTCATATAAAAGTATCTTGAAAATTTTACCAACATTGGTTGGTTGATACCAATTTTATTGTGAAAACATTGACTTGCATAATAAAATCTTAATATATTGTAAGGAAAACTAAAGAAATATTTTTGGCCAATCATCTCAGCCAAATACAGTCCGTTTCCTCTTCCTACTTGCCTGGTATTAAAAAAAAAGTAAAAAGAAAATAAGGACATCTAAGAACAAAGTAAAAGACACACGTAACCACCCTAAACCAAATTCCTGTCCTTGTATTGTCATTCCATTCCACATGGAAATTTTCTCCCTTGATTGAACCCAAACTACAAAGATTATTGCCAGTTAACAGATACTCCAGTGCTCAGTGTTTCTTGCAAAGACAAGCATATCATCATCATAGATGGCTTTTTCAAATATTTCTAATCAGCTGTTGTAAAAAAACAAATTCAAAAACTGAGAAGATATAACCAAACAATAAAAATTACTCTATCTTTTCTTCTCTTTTACCCTTCTCTTCCAAAGTTTTTTTTCTTTTTGCCTGTCTTCATTTTATACCATTCCCTCCATTTCATCTAACAATATCAATTCTTCCTTCTTTTTCTGTCTATCAATCTATCTTCTCTTCTTCCCAAAGAGCATCTGCCCAGTATTTCCGCATTCCCCACCTATGCCATTTTGTCATGTCTTGTTTTTACATTCACAATATCCAGGCATTGATTTTTTTTCTTTATTTATTTGCATATTATTTTTCCTTTACATCTTTCTGTCAATCACTCTTTTCTTCCAATGTTTTCATGCCTTTTATCTATGCTTTTTCTTTCCAATTTTATTTTGCTATCTTCTAAGTATTTTCCTGCTTATATCCATTTCATTCTGTTAATATCTATCCATCCATCTCAATCTGTTCATATCTATCTATCTGTTCATATCTATCTATCTATCTGGCTCAGTCTGTTTCTCACTTAGTCTCTTCACATCTATCCCTCTTTGTTTGCTTTTTGGATTGTTTCCATTCTACCTTCCATCTATCTTTCTCTCTTCCCCATCACTTGCTATCAATCATTTAATTTCCTCCATTTGCCCTTTGCTCTCACTCTGTGCACCCATTGTAAAAAATGGGCTGTTTCTGCAGCTATAGATGAGTTCAGTTCTTACAAAATGCCCTATAAAAATAAAAATATAGCTGTTATACAAGACCCAAGCTAAACTTGACTAAGTTTAACTTTGGTACCAATCTCTTCACAGATCTTTCATCTGTCACTAATCTTGTCTCTCTTCCTTTTATTTTTCTTGTGTCTCTCTCTGTTTCCCTTCTTGTTGCTCCTTTTTTTCCTCCTCTTTTTCTTTCTCTTCTTTTATTCTTTTACATGTTTCCAGAATATTCTCTTCCAGTATTTCAGCCCTAACTGAACAGTAACAAGGAAGCATCCTTTTTCACATTGTGCACTCTTTTGCAAATTTCTTGCATGTACAAGACCTGAGCTGCAGAAGAAGTTAGGCATTAGATCCACATGAACGAACAAGCTTGGTTTCACAGGTTAAGTTGCTCCTTATAGATGCTATCAAGCATGACTACTGTTCTGTTTCATTTAATAATTGTAAGAACAAGAGTACATGAAAGATACACAGCTTCACTAGATTTCCTAGCCAAGCTGAAAATTCTCCAGTTATAAGACTGCATTATTGTTATTTGTTGAAACATCAGCTATCGATGACAACTGTTTGTGTATCCGACAGAGTTTGCCTTGTAGTGTTAAGTGGCACAGAATAATAAAGTGCAGTGTACTCCTCAAGCCAAGTCTGTCTCATGCTCAGCCAGATATTTTTGACATCCAATAGCTTTTTGCTATGTAGGGGGTGAGGGTTGAGAAAGGAGGCTAGCTAAGACAGTTGCCAGGCCTATCTGGATAGGATTCCTGATCCAGATCCATCTGGATATTTCAATTTGCAGAAACAAAAGCTGATTTGAGTTTTACTTGGAAACAAAGCAATTTGGATTATGTGGAATTCAATTTGGTATTTTTTAAGCAAAAAAAAAAAACAAAAAAAACAGCAAAAACTTTTTAAAAAGTAAATAAAATTGTATGAATATTTTCTTTAAATTAATTTAATATTGTTATTCATTTTGTCTTTCTGATATTATAGGATTTAAAAACAACTAAAATTAAAAAAATATATAAATTATAATTTTTAAAATCTTAAATGTAATTTAAACACAAGTGAAATATTTGGTAATGAAAAACAGTGCACATGTAATATTTAAATTCTTTTTTTTTATGTGTCATGTCCTTTCAAGGCATGGGTGATCATGACTCTCCACAACTTCCAGTCCTTTGTAGTGCTTAATTTTATTTTATTTTTTATTCTCCTTTCTACTTCCAATTCTGCCATCCATGTACACAAACTTGTTAGATAGGTTACTCACTGTTTCTCTCTTTCCTTCAATATGTCCAGTGAGCATTAAATTCTCCAAGCCTTCTTTCCCCATTTTGTCCCAAAAGTTTCAGCACTTTTATTCTAAATGCAAATGTTCTTTTTGTTTTTATTTTCCTTAAGATTTCCTCATTGATCACAAGTTCTGTTCATCATATTCCCAGCATCCTTCTGTAAGACCACATCTCTGTTGCCTCATCTGTGAGGAAAATCATCTAACATTCACTGCCATATGAGAATTAGTATTACATAGTTGTTTGACTGTATTCTCTCTTCTCCACTTTTCTCACATTTTCTGACAGACCATGACTTATTTTTGTATATGCAACCTGTTTTAGGCAACTGTACTCAAATTTGACTAACTCTAATGAACTCCTCTACTGAAGTCAATGTGGCTTAAAACTAAAAAAGCAAAAAAGAAAAGAAAAAATGTAAATTGGAACAGAAAATGTTACTAAAAATGTTATCTTATGCAGTATTCAAGAATTCTATCATTTCTTTGCCACCACATCTGGTCTGATGCTTCTGCTATATATTTACAGATTTTTGGTAAAATCCGAAAAAGAATTTGCAATGTTATTAGTCCTGACCTGACATCTCAGCTTCAGTTACTTTCCCATTGCTGTAATGTATCTTCATTGTTTTTTTTTTTATAAATATTTTCATGGTGATAATTCTGATAAATTTTCCTGTATGTAAACTTTACGAATTTAAGAGCAGTACTAGATTGCTGGCAAGATCTCATCATTTTACAGTTGAGCTGGCTAGATGTAACCATAAGTTATATACTAAAAGTTTCTTCTATCATACTTCTGACTTGTGAAACTCGCTTCTGGCTTTCCAGTCAACATTGATCTTCAAAAATTTAAATGCAATGTCAATCATTATCTTCTGTTTTCCTAATTCTGGTTCTTTTATCGTTGTCTCTTCTTAAAAATGTTTCACACTCAGTAATCCATTGTATCTTAATGGCTTTGTTGCCTTATGTGGGGTGAAATGATTTAAAGATTATATATACAGCAACTATAACAAAACATTGATTGTGCCAAATATAAGGGAATAATGCTAGCATTATAGATTATAGCTTCAAATATTAAGTAAATACAATGATAATATTTAATAAAATATGATGCTGTGTATGCTAATATGGAGCCTTGTTGTGATGGGTTGAAATGATAGTGAAGATGAGAGTCTCATATATAAGATTTTTCAATGATGATAATAAAGAATAGTAAAATGAGAATAATTATTGGAATTTAATTTGAGAACCACAAATACAATATTTTACAAGTTCACATTCTAGCCTATTTTCAAATCCTCACTCCAACCTTTTTCCTTGCTTTCAAAACCTGACTCCCAAAGCCTTGATTCTTATCAGAGATAAGAATATATTTTATGACTAATGAGATAGCTGGAAAATATGAAAAAAAAATTCCACCACCATTATTCTTTCCATGGTGCCATAAAGTCTGGGGAAAACACTCACAGCTTGTTGTAGCTCCCAAAACCCTGATTCTTATCAGAGAATTTTCTAACCAATGAAGGGGCCAGAAAATTTGTATAACAATTTTGGAGGGAAATGTCCCCAATACTTCTGAGCCTCCCAAATCTCCATAAATTTAGAGAATCTTCACCTATTTGACAGTGAGTAATTGTCAATCTTCTGTGAAACAAGAAAGGATGGCAATGGAAAAGCAGTAATCTTCACTGTCAGCTAGAAAGAACTGCCTACTAAGAGCTGTCAAGAAAGAACGTCAACCCGCTACTAAATACCAGTTGAAAGCTGCTTCCTTTTACCTACAAGACTTTTGTCGTCGACCTATGAACTCACTCAACTGCAAAATTCATATATACTGGCATTTTCCTACTCTGCAAGAACTCTGAAGAAAACTGTGAGTGTTTTGAGCCTTAGCGAAAATCTAATCGTTTAAAGAACTTTTAGGCACTCAGAGAAATATTTAGAGCAAGCCTTTTTTCTGTTATGAACATTTCCTCTTCCTTTAAAGTTAAATGACTTTTTCTTCTCCCTTTCTTTCTCTTTATTGTGTTTATCCCTTTACCCTTTTTTTTTTTGTACATGTAAATAAACACTTTCTTCTTTTATTGTTACATGCCGAGCAGTAGTTTTGAGTCTTTCTTTATTCGTCCGCCTAAAAGAGAATGTTCACTCTAATCTTTCAAGCTATAGTTGCTTGCTTTTTTTTATTCAATTTTTGTTGTAATTTTTTTAACTTCAACCCTTTCATGTGGGAAAGCCGGGACAAATATCCCACATAATACATATATAACCAATATGATCCATTTATATTGTATTTAACATAATAATACAGTGTACACATGAAAGACCGCAACAACCAGTTTCTTGTGTGCTAATACATGCTGCCATCAGGCAGTAAGTATGGGTCTGTTTGGTGATATAGGCATTTATATCTTCTCAAGTTGTTACAATGAGGGTAGCTGGTGAATATATACAATGTACTTATCGACTAAAATCACTGAGGTGGGAAATACTCATATGGCGCAGGGGCCATGCTAATCTTCTCTGTATCGTTCCAATTTTAGAATATGTACTGCTGAAGCTGAGGATTGAATTGCTGAAAAATCACTGCTATTTGGGGAGAAAAATATTTAAGCAAACATGAACTTTTGTGCCTGCAAAAATATTTTTCTTGAGTATAAAATGACCCCATGTTTCTGAAGCTAAAATCATGGAATAAATTACATACTTGAGTATATGACCCAGAAGTACAGCCATCCATATTCAATCTTTTTTTTGAAAAGTTGTACCATATTATCCATTAGAATTTCAATGCCATAGATATATTTCACTGAAATATTTAATCTTATAGGATATTAAAGAAAAGAAATAAACCAAATGTTATGCAATTGTGTTTCTTCTCCTAATTTCCATTCCAAAATATATTTTTGAATTTGCTAACTACACATATCTGGTAATTGATTTTAAGATCTTATTAATCTATAATGTTAAATCATACAAACAATATTGTGTGAGTTACAAATTATTACAATTTTCATGACTTTGATTCTAATTGCGTGACTTATATTTGAAAAACTGAGCTCAGTTTAGTAATGTATGGGCAAACTGTTCTGGACTAGTGGTTAGAAAGCAGTGAGTTTATTTTTGAATGCATCAAACTAAGCTTAATAAATAACTGCTTATGTGTGTGTGAATGTATTCATATAAATGGGGAGTCAAAAATCAGGTGAAAATAAAAAAAAATCAACTTCTGGCTCCAAGGGAATGTTGTCAAAATCAGATATAACCAAGACAAAAAAGAAAAAAAAATTAAATAATGGCTCCAAGGGAATGTTGTCAAAATCAGATATAACCCAGACCAAAAAATAAAATAAAAATCAAATTCTGGCTCCAAAGGAATGTTGTCAAAATCAGATATAACCAAAAAAAAAAAAAAAAAAAAAAAAAAAAATTAAATAATGGCTCCAAGGGAATGTTGTCAAAATCAGATATAACCAAGACAAAAAAAAATCAACTTCTGGCTCCAAAGGAATGTTGTCAAAATCAGATATAACCAAAAAAAAAAAAAAAAATAAATAAATAAATAAATAATGGCTCCAAGGGAATGTTGTCAAAATCAGATATAACCAAGATAAAAAAAAAAATCAAATAATGGCTCCATGGGAATGTTATCAAAATCAGATATAACAAAGACAAAAAAAAAATCAAATAATGGCTCCAAGGGAATGTTGTCAAAATCAAATATAACCAAGATAAAAAAAAAATAAAATCAACTTAGGGCTCAGAATGTCTAATGTCTAAATCTTGTCTAGTCAAGATTAAAATTTAACTTATGACTTAGAATGTATAATGTCAAAATCAGGTTAAGACTTATCCAATTCATTGTTATAGATTGTTCTTGTATAGAAATTGAAATGCCAACAATCTATCTCTCTGGATTGAATCAAATTTTGGTTTGAA